TCTCCTCTTAATCTTACTCTTTTCTTCAATTAAAACACCAAAAGAACTCCTTCACCATCCCCATATTAATCCCAGCCATTTCCCACACAAACACCACTATTGTCTGCCCTGATTTCGGATCCTGATTGTCTTGATAATCGATTATCACACATCAATAATCGATTATCTAACCCTTCAGAACACTCCTGGAATAATCAGCGAAGCACAATATTCGATTATCAACTTTGATAATCGATTGTTTGGTCCCTCTGAATTCTCGTCGTCTAGGCCATACAACCTAATAATCGATTATCACACTTGTGTCAATCGACTATCCGGCATCCCAGAAGTTCCTTCGTTTTGCAGCATCACTACATAATCGATTGTCAAATCCCATAATCGATTATTGCGTGTCCCAGAACTCCCAATCTAAGGCTGCATCACTCCTTAATTCCTCCTCAAAATAGTAACTCGTTAAGACCCTGGGTCTCGGGTATAACAACGAGGGTCTCCCGTCAAGAAGAGGAAGCTGAAAGCCAACCTAGGGGACCGGTGGCTAACCGGCTGACCGTCCCAAATGATCGCATCCAGTAGATGGAGGCAAAACTGGAGAGGCTGGAGAAAAGAGTAGGGGAAAAGAATGACCGGGACAAACCCCTCGCTGGGTCCCCGTTCACTACAAGGGTTCATCTGACACCTTTCCCGCGAAAGGTCAAGAGAGCTGCCCCAAGATTCACCGGGAAGGAAGACCCAGAAATCCATCTGGACTCCTTAACCAGAGTGCAACCATGAACGGTTGCACAGATGAAGAAAAGTGCCTCCTTTTCTTCCAAACCTCGCGGAACCGGGATACTGAATGGTTCAACAAGCTTCGTCCTGGAAGCATTGATTCATTCAGTGACTTGGCCTCAAAATTCAAGGCCAAGTTCCAGGAGAATTGTACTAAGAGTAAGAAATTCACCTTTCTTAGTACAGCCGGGCAGAGGGAATCCGAGAACCTCACTCAATTCCTTACCCGGTGGAAGGAAGAGGTAGACAAGGTAGAAGAGATGGACAACAAGACGGTGTTGTCCCTTATCTTGAATGGCCTACGTGCCGGGGAACTATACAAGGAGTTCTGCCGAAAGCCCCCGGCCATGTATCAAGAAGCCTATCACACTGCATGGGAGTTTGCTGAGGCTGAAACCCAACTCCGGGCAAAGAAAGAGGCTGAACACGAATTCAAGCCCAAGTCGGTGCAGATCAAGAAGGAAGAAGCACCGGGACCTAGCCGCCCAAGGCACCTTTATGACCCGGTCATTCGCATGGTCAACATAGAAGAGTGCCTGGAAATCAGAAAAGCACCGGTCATTCCTCCGGAAAACCCTACCGGTCAAACAGGACGGCAATGGTCACGCACCTATTGTTCATACCATAGGTCAGATTCCCATAACATTGCTGAATGCAAGAGTGTTAAGGGAGTCATCCGACAAATGATAGACAGCGGGGAGCTGGGCAAAGATTATTTGCAGAAAGCCCAGGAGAAAAGCCACCAATGGATTAGGCCAGCAGCCCAGGGGAATAACTGGGACAATGACCGGCAGAGGAACAACCGGAAAAGGGAGCAGCAACCTGCTCCTGAGAAAGAGCATATTGGCATGATCTTCGGCGGACCCGAAGGTGGAGGTTCAGCCGCGCAACGGAAAAATTGGGTCCACAGCATTTACGTTGGTGAAGTAAGTGCTGAACCGGCCAGGCGTAAGCAGACCTGGAGGGAGCCAATCGTCTTCACTGACCGGGACCTCCCACCTACCGGAGAAGATCACAATGATCCTTTGGTCATCACCACGGACATTAATGGGGTGGATGTCGCCCGAGTACTTATTGACACCGGTAGCAGTGTCAACATCTTGTACCTGGAAACTTTCCAAAAACTCAGGTTGTGTCGGACACAACTTGAACCCCTCAAAACCCCTCTCTCAGGTTTCACGGGAGATACAGTGGAAGCTGAAAGATCCATAGTTCTACCGGTCGAACTAGGATCGGGTGAAAAAACCGTATGGAGGAAGATGCGGTTCATTGTTGTGGACATCAAATGCGTCCATAACGCAATCCTTGGAAGACCGGGCATCAATAAAGTCGGGGCGGTGATTTCCATGCCTCACCTATGCATGAAGTTTCACACTCCATGCGGTGTCGGTGAGGTAAAAGGCGACCAGAGGAACGCCCGGGAGTGCTATGCCCGGGCAGTCAAAAAGATGACCAAGGGGGTCAATGTCATCTCCCAAGAAATCACAAAGGGAGAGACCCGAGAGAAACTTGAGCCCGAGGCCGAGACGGTGGAGATCGAACTTCACCCGGGTGATTCTTCAAGGATGGTCAGAATTGGAGCAAATCTCCCAGAAGATCTCAAGGCGGAGATTACACGGGTCCTCCAAGAGTACGCGGGCATATTTGCGTGGAGCATGACAGATATGCCTGGAATTAACCGCTCAATCATCTGCCACCGGCTGGCGGTGAGGGATGGAAGTCGACCGGTACGCCAGAAGAAAAGGTACCTAGCCAGTGACCGGCGAGACTTTGTCCGAAAGGAGGTAAAGGATCTCCTCAGTGTGGGTCATATCCGTGAAGTCAAGTATCTGGATTGGCTGGCCAACGTAGTCCTTGCTCCCAAGGGCGACACGTGGAGGATGTGTGTGGATTACACGGACTTAAACAAGGCTTGTCCGATGGATTCATACCCCCTTCCCAGTCCAGATCAAATGGTGGACGAAACTGCGGGGTGCGAACTCCTAAGTTTCATGGATGCCTTCAAGGGGTACCACCAGATCTACATGGCCAAGGAAGATGAAGAGAAGACGTCATTCCTCACACCCGAAGGAACCTACTGTTACCGGGTGATGGCGTTTGGTTTGAAGAACTCAGGAGCGACTTACCAGCGCATGGTAAACAAACTCTTCAAGCCACTGTTGGGAAAGACCATGGAGGCGTACGTCGACGACATGCTGATCAAAAGCCAGGTATCTCTTAATCACCTGGCTGACATGCGTGCCACATTTGATATCACGGCAAGATACAACCTCCGGTTGAATCCTAAGAAATGCGTCTTCGCGGTTCGTACCGGGAAGTTCTTGGGATTCATGGTGACCAAGAGAGGAATAGAGCCCAACCCAGAAAAAATTCGGGCTATCACCGAGATGCAAGCTCCCACTTCTGTGAGGGATGTTCAAAAGTTGACCGGTCGTCTAGCGACCCTCAGCCGGTTTCTTTCCCGGTCAGCTGAGAGATCCCTACCCTTGTTCAAAGTCCTGAAGAAGGCCAACACATTCACCTGGGGTGAAGACTGCCAGAAGGCATTCGAGGAGCTGAAAGAATACCTAGTGTCAGACATTGTATTGTCGTAACCCGAACCGGGTGAAACTTTGTATCTGTACCTAAGGATTTCCCCAAATGCTGTAAGCTCCGTTTTAATAAGAGATGATGGGGCACAAAAGCCCATTTATTATGTGAGAAAAGCACTAAACGGGGCAGAAAGTAGATATACGGCGATGGAAAAGACTGTGTATGCTCTTTTCATCTCCGCCAAGAAGTTAACATCATACTTCCAAGCTCACCCGGTGGAAGTGCTGATTGACCAGCCACTGGGTGCAGTGTTGCGAAATTCAACATCCCCCGGGAGGATTGTGAAGTGGGCAATGATGTTAACTCAATTCAACATTGAGTACCGGCCAATATCAGCAATCAAGGGACAGGCCCTTGCAGATTTCCTGGTGGAAATCACTGGTCTAACTCCAGACCTACCGGTCAACAAGCCCACGGAGCAATGGTGGGAGATGGCAGTAGACGGGGCATCTGGTCCTAGAGGATACGGGGGTGCTATAGTGTTTACCACCCCAGAAGGGTTAAAGATCTACCATGCACTCGTCTCAAACTTCAAACTGATGAACAATGAGGCAGAATATGAAGCTCTGGCTGGAGGGCTCAGACTTGCTCAAGCACTCACAATTAACCGGGTCAGTATCAAATCTGATTTAGTCTGATTGTTGGGCAAGTGACTGGAAATATGGAAGCAACGGAAGGACGAATGGCGCAATACAAGGACCTGGTGCTTGCCTTGTTGAAAGGCTTCGAGGAATTCAAGATTGCACAAATTCCCCGGGCAGAAAATGCAGATGAAGACCTTCTCTCCAAATTGACGCAGTATGCTCCCGAGCATGTTTCAAAACTTACCCGGGTGGAAATTCTCGATCGTGCCAGCATCGAGAAATTGGAGGTCGCCACTATAGCAGCAGGCGACCAATCTGACCGGTCAAACACGGTCAGGGTAGGCGACCATTGGATGAGCGACCTTATGAAATATTTGACAGACGGGAGCTTGCCAGAACAAGATGACCGGGCAAGAAAAGTAAAGCTCATGGCGCCCCGGTTCCAAGTCATTGATGGGATGCTGTACAAAAGGGCATTCGGGGGACCACTCCTGAGATGTCTAACCAACCGGGAAGCTGAAAGAGTCATTGCGGAAGTCCATGAAGGGGTGTGCACAGCACATCAAATGTCCCATACTCTATCCTAGCGTATCATATTACAAGGGTACTACTGGCCGACGATTGTCCAGGATTGTGAGAGGTACGTTCAGAAATGCCGAACGTGCCAAGTGTTCTACAAGTACCCCGGTAGACCGGCGACCTACTATCACCCCGTATCGAATGTCATCCCATTCGCTAGATTCAGAGTTGATATCATTGGAGCATTCCCAATTGCCCAAGGGAGAAAGAAGTTCGTAATCGTGGCCATCGATTACTTCACCAAGTGGATTGAAGCCGAAGCATTAGCCAATATCACCACGCAACAATGCAAGAAATTCATTTGGAAGAACATCATCACGAGGTTTGGAGCGCCCATGAACCTCATCACCGACAACGGCCCACAATTCTGAAATCCAAGATTCACCGAATACTTGGAGGGCTTCGGGATTAAACACAATCGTTCTTCGGTGGCATACCCCCAAGGAAATGGCCAAGTTGAAAACGCCAACCGAACGATTGTGGATGGTCTAAAGAAACGGCTGGGAGAGGCAGGAAACAAGTGGCTGGAAGAGCTCTCACATATCATTTGGGCGTTTCGAGTAACATGAGGGCTCATGGGGAAACTCCGTTCTCCCTAACCTATGGGTGTGAACCAAGGCTGCCCATCGAAGCTGAATTCCCAACATTCCGGGAATCAAGTTACCACCCACAACAAAACGAAGAAGACCACCTAGCTGAGCTCAACTTGGTCGAAGAGCGAAGGATGGCCGCGGAAGTTAAAATGAGCACATATCAACAAGTTGTGAAGAAATACCATGACAACAAGGTTGGGCCACGTTACTGTTGGGTTATTCAGTGAAGGCTTTAGAGCTTTGGGCTTTAAGCCCGGTCAGTTAAAGGGAAGAAATATGGGGGGCCGGTTTTAGTTATTAATTAAAGGGCCCATTAGTTGTTTCTTGTTTAGCAAGTTGTTAATCCTAATTTATCTTATAAATACCCAATCATGTAACTATAATCTGTGAGCACCTAATAAAAGATAAACCCTAGTTGCAACCCGTGGAGTAGGTTACTGACCGAACCACGTTAAATCTTGTGTTCTTATTTTCTGCTATTTGTGTGTGTGTTTGTTCGCTTCCGCTTGACCGCCTCTGGTCTCTGATTCCTAACAAGTGGTATCGGAGCCTTGGTTCGGTTAAACACACGGTTACACAGGATCAATCGCAGGAAGAAGGCCGTTCAGGATTGTTTTTGCTGTTGTTTTGCTGCCGCGGTTAAGGGGTTGGTTCAGATCTGATCAGGGGCTGGTTCGGATCTGATCAGAGGCTGGTTCGGATCTGATCAGAGGCTGGTTTGGATCTGGTCAGGGGTTGTTCAGTCGGTTTTAGGTGAACTTGGCGATTAGGGTTTCTAGTTTTGGACCTGGTACTCGTTGGTTCGGGTTCTTTGTTTAAGGGTTTGTTTTCTTTTGAAGGTTGCTTGGTTTCAGGCCGTTATTCCTTGATTTTTTTCTCTGTTTTTTTTCTCTCGTTTTGCAATGGCCGAGGACGGGAGGGTTCGAATCGAGAAGTTCAACGGTACTGATTTTGCATGGTGGAAAATGCAAATAGAGGCGTTGCTTGGTGAGTGCGATTTGGACATGGTACTAGAAGAGAAACCGGATGGAATGGATAAGGCTGCTGAAGCAATTTGGGACTCAAAGGACAAAAAGGCAAGAGGTAAAATTACACTAGCTTTGACGAGGAGT